TCGGCTACAGAGAGAAGGGAGTGGTGGTTGATGCTCAGCTGTTCTATGGGAAAAAGAGTCAGGTTGGGGCCGGACGGGTGGTTCTTTTGATGTCCGGAGGTGACCTGCGGAGAGAGAGGGGTCGGACAGCCCCTTTTGCTGACCTACTAAATGTCTCTAGTGACACCTTTACGGCTAGAGAGGTTCACTAAGGCTCTTTGAATACACAATCCTTAAGCGATGCATTGTCTGCTGATCCCTAACAAACACCAGCGATGTCTCTGGTTTTTTCATGTAAAAAGGTCACTCTAGGGGAAGAAAACTTCCCCCCTCTTTTGGCACCATCTGACCTCACCTGCCTTTTTGAGTGAGTCTGGTTGATTCCTCAACATCACACTTTCTCTCAAATTTAGCACATTACAACAAATTCTCATTCACTCCTGTAGGCTACTCTAAAAGCATCTATTCAACCAATGGTCCCAAATGTTTATTTCAGTGGGTACCGTTCCTAGGCAAAGATCAAACCCTGAAACCACTAAAGACAAGCATACCACAGTCTTGAGCCAAACTAAACCCTTTTCTGTAAACCCTTATTTATTTATTTTTTTACAGTTTAATCTAGCACAATTAAAAAGTTATTTCTGCTTGCCTGCAGATCTCTTCTAGATTAACAACTTTGAACTATCCGTCCCTAAGGTTCCCACACACCGAGCACACATCCCAAAACCACACTTCACCAATATTTACATATAAAGAGGACAAACACCAAAAAAATAACAGATAACAGTAAACCATTTACACAAAATACTTTTTTCTTATACAGAAAACACTTCATCTTTATGAAACATTAATCACCAAATCTCATCTCCTTTTGTTATTTTCTTCATTTTAAAAACAGCTCCACTGCTATTTTAATTTACGCATTTTGTTGGCAGTCAATTCAAAGAACCCCTTTTACCGAGGGATTGAACTTGCAGAGACTAAACCTATAGGCTGCACTTCCTCCACCGAGGGAAAACTACCCCTTTTCACCGGGGCAAACCTTCTCTTCAACGAGCGAAAACTGTACACCCCATTACCAGGGCAAAGCTGTCAATGCCACAACAATCACACATTAACTCTGTTAACTTTCTCGACTATGGTCACGTATTTACATCAGTTAACCCGTTAATTTTTCTCATACACCATCAAGCTAATTAATTCTTACTGTACCCCTTTACCGGATAAAGCTATCATTTCTCACAACAGGCACACATTAACTCTAAACCCTCCTTAGGGAGCATTTATGCACTTTCAAACTCTTACGCACACACACACGCATCCTTCACAGTCTGTTCGTGGCAGAACGCCCCAACTCGACGGCTTGCAGGATTCGGCCAGTTGTTAATCAGATCCTGTTCGTGACACCAAATTATGTGGGTATTTATGTGATATTATGTGATATAACTTACTGATAATCAAGTCGTTATATAATTGTGCTTTTTGTACTGGCTGCACGCCTGGAAATTCCTGACTGACCAATTTCCTGGAATATCTGTCGTCCAGCACACCTGGTAAAATGCAACCTGTACATCTAATAGAAAGCTGGTGTAATGAATTTGATTTATCATCATCTACAGACTGATGACATTAGTTAAATAAGCAAGGATACTGTAGCATTGTAAGATTTTAGTTCACTGAAGCAGGCGCATGTGCTGTACTGGATTTTCTTTTGGACCTGGAAAAAATTGACCCCCCCAGTTGTCACTGTATAATTCACACCCTGAACTCACCTGATTCAGACGATCCATTCAAAACAGGGTAACTTTCAGTTCCAGGCAGACATCAATCAAGTGTCTCAGGGACCAGCTTGCGATCCGAGGGCCTTGCTCGCCAGGATCTCCAGTTCTCCAACGACATTTCGCCAACTCCCTGCAGCTCTCAGGCCTCTTCCCCTCAGTCATTGAGGTCAGGAAATCAAGGACGTCGCGGGAGTCGTCACCTACCCTCTACCTACCCTCTCTTCCTCCGGTACAAACACCGGGTACTCTTCACGGCGCAGCACACCCTCCTCCACAGCGCGGCCGTCTCTTCCTCCACAAACGGAGCCTGACATTAGTGACTGGACCGTCGCCCCCTCCAACAATTCCTCAGAGGGAAAAACATTCCCTCCAACCGCAACATAGCCTCCAGCAATACTCAGGCAACAACAAACACCAGGCCTCGCACAATTCCGGTTCTCCGCCAGGGTCGGCCACGGCCAGTGGCATCACGCATGATGTCACCGCCTCTGCATCCTTCCATACGTTAAGGATACATGTCCCCAGCAATTAACTGAACTCAAGATCCATGTTCCTGCCGGCCTTTTCTTGAAGTGTCAGTATTTACCAGATGTCATCTGCCTGTAATCCATCCAACCGTCCCAGTCTATCCGACATCACCATCCGCACCTCCGACCAGGGGCGGACTGGCACAATAATTCAGGCCGGGCGTTTGACTCCATCCCAGACCACCGCATTCACGCAAACCACCAAACCGCTAGTTTGTGGTCTAATCCCATTCCTCGACACAACTGGTATCAAACTGGGAAATCTTCGCTACCGCGTTCATCTGGATTTAGTCGCACGCAGAACCCGTTGCCACGGTTACAGCAGTGTTTTGCCATCTTTTCTAATGAGCACAATGACACCACCCACCCATACCACATAACTCGTAGCTAGCTACACAGGAGGGGGGGCTGTTCCTCGTCCGAAAAGGTTTATATACACTCACACACAAACGCTAAAACACATGGCCACGTGCTAGATTAATTAATTACTGATCTCGCTATATTATACATTTGCTATATTGTACGTTTCGCTAATCAGGCAGCTGGCCGTACCCAGCAATTTAACCCGGATACATACTGGAGCGCTCTCAACTCTTAATTCTACGGTCGCATCTATTCAGCTCGTACATCCCTCTCTTGCAGGTCATCGGAGCCCCTCACCCAGCCTCAGCATGCATAGGAAGCGCTCCACTACCCCATTCACGCCCCCTTTTTACTGACGAAACACCCCAGCGTTCACTGTTTCTCACCCGCCACGCCCCCATCTCACATTATCCCTAGGCCCGCAGACTCACATCCTTCTGTTAATATCCCAACGCTAAAGGGAACTGACAAACAGGGCAGGCCAGTTTTCATCAAGCGGGCACGATGGTCTGCATTAATTCAAACACCGGGGCCGCACTCTTACACTGCAGGCTCTGCATGTCTGCTCCTTCTGCGTAGCAGCACTACTCCATCACACCAGCAGACTCCAGCGCTGCACCTCGGTATGATCATTTCAGTCGCAGTCCTTCCAGACACTCCTCACCCATGCCACGATCTCATTAGAGTTAGACTTCTAGACACCGAGTCCAGCCTTCCTTCCTCAGCACTCACAAACTTAGCTCGTCATCATAGCCGCCATCTTTGGGGGTTTTAAGGGTCTAGTGAGTCCACACTCATCCACCCAGATAACACTACACTGCAAAAACTGAGCTCTCAAAAACAAGAAAGAAAAGCATTAAAATGGGGGAAATCTTACTTAAAATAAGCAAAATTATCTGCCAACAGAACAAGAATATTTCACTTGCTACTTAAGGCCAAAAACTTGAAACAAGTGAAATTCCTCACCTCACTCCTTCGCAGACTCATGAATATCGCTATACATCGGTTCATCCTCAGGGCAGCTCGCATTTCTGCCACCACAGGACCATTAGCAATCCATCCTTTCATCTCTTATTCATTTTCAGACACCGGGCCACAGCACCATACTGCATCTTCATCCAATACCAGTCTCACCGTTTCAGCCACGTCATTTTACCAGCTCTGCAGCTAAGAAACCTCTCTGACGCGTCACAGGAATCCATCCTCTACAGCATCTGCCCAAGCTTCTCTCAGTTTAATTCAATTCAATCAGCTTTATTGGCACGAATGTATAACAACAATATTGCCAAAGCTACAAAGCTCTCAACATACCAACTGCCCAAATCGCTTAAAAGCATCACGTCACCTTTCATCAGACATTCTCCTCTCAGGACCTCAAGTCCAACCGCAATTTCAGCACAAATGCTCTTTCAGACCAAGTCTGTTCCTCCGCTATAACCCAGGCTCGAGGAACTCAAACCCGACCTTAATCTGACTCTTCTGGGGGCTTGAAATAAACTTTTCCGAGACGGAACCCCCACACTAAGTCTCTCTGCCCGGTCTTCTGTACACCCCTTCAGGCCAGCAGCCTATCAGACGACATCCTTCTTCCACCATCACCCTTCCCCTCTATATGCATTAATCCATCCTCTATAATCCATGCATTCCGTATTTGCATGTACGTCTAAATCACACATTGCTGTGGCGTGGTCCTTGCTAGTCAAATCACTGTTGTGTGTCCGTACCAGATCCTACCAGTCCACTTGATTATGTGTTACATGTACATGTGAGTTTCTCAGGTCTCAGTGTTCTGCATTTCTCAGCAAAGAAAAGCAACCTGACTCAAAAGTGAACACAGAAGAAAGAAACCAAGAACAAAAAAAATTGTTTCCTCCTCTTGTAATTAAAACTCTGCTTTTCATCACGTTCAGTAAAACAGCCTCATTCACAGGTCCAATGCATTCCTGTTCCTTCACTGCACCTGCAGACTGTGTGACATCCTGCCTCAGTTCACACAGAGATAAAGAGTCAGAATGACTGTGAGTGAGTTGCAAACTGTAATTGTTAAAAAAAGATTCCGCTTTCATATAATCCACTTCTTCTTTCTGAAATGTTTCTCAATACTTATATATAATCACTGTGCTCAGCATGAGACTTTTTGCATCCCATACTGCTGCAGCACATCTCTTTGAACTTAAACTGGTATAAAGGTAATTTTTCACTGTCTAAAGATGCACTTGAAAGTGTCAAGTGATGCATCAAACCAACTTTTACACCTGTCTTGTTTTTGGTGCTTAAAATAGGGAGAGTTTAAAAAATATGTTGTATCTGGGATTTTTACAGTGAAACAGGTTTAATACCAACAGGCCATAACACTATTTTCTTAGTCTGTCTTATTATGTTTATAATTAACAAAATGTTACAACTTTATTGTGATATTGATGTTAACTGGCAGTAAGCTTGTGAATATTAATAATCTAATGAGGAAGGAAATGTAGTCGTTTAACAGCCTGATATCTATCTTCTGCTTACTGACCACAGAGGAAGGCTTCTTTAAAGACAGCGTCCTTCCTCATTGTAAGTAGAATTGTTTATTGATGTGACTGATACTGTATATCTCCTGTGTACATTATTTTATCTCCTGACATGTTTTATTGTCTCTGAAGCCACACAGAGAGATGAGAGGAGCAGCTATGAGTTTAACTGCAGCAGCGAGTGGATTTGTCGTCTCCCTTCTCTCTGTGTCAGGTGCTGAATATCTAAACTTACATTCATTGCATTAAAAGGAAGAATCTGTGAAAATGTGGGTCTTGTAAAAGTAGGCTGAAGGTCACATGTGGAAATAAGTGGATCAGAATTGTGTGAAAGGCAAACTAGAAACATTGGTTTTATTTACAATTGTGGAAACTCCCCAGATTAATACATTTTTATATAGTTGTTGTTTGTGTAAATTTTAATGGATATTAGGACTCTCGTTTTTAACTTCTTTTGCTCTTTCCTTTGCATAAATTATCTGTTTGCTAAGCACTTTTACATGCTATAAATTGATAATATTGTGGGTTTCATTGGTGACTTTTTTCCTGTCACTCTTTAAAAACCTATAGTCCTGTAGGAGGAATTGTTCCATCATTACCACAGCTGTAGTTGCTTCAGTCTTTTCTGTCCTGGTTGCAATCATCTGTAAGAATTCACTATTCAGATGAAAAACCCACTCATGTAAAATATGTCTGTGCAGTTTCTACCTGAACAGCCAGAGGAGCAGGATAACCTTCAATATGCCAGCATTCACTTCACCAACAACCAGGCAGATCCTCTCTACTCCAACATCAGACCAGCTCGCTCCCTCAGACACACAGAGCAACAAGATTTCATGGAGTACGCTGTTGTCACATTTAAGAGTAATACTGCCCCGAGGTGAGCAGCTCTTCTCACATTATCCTCACTACAATTGTTGTAGTCAAGACAACCCAAACCGAGACTATGTGAAGACCAAGACCAGAGTTTATTGAGACTGAGACAAGAACAAGACTTTTAAGGGCTGAGACCAAGTCGAGACCAAGACCAGTTCCCCATATTACATGACACACAATAAAATGTGGAACGAGATCATAGGTACTTCTCAGGTTGATCTGAAAGATCCACATTCCCAGTAAAACACCCACATACAAACACTAAGAGCTGAAATCAACAAAAGCTTCTTTATTCAACACTCCTTTTCCATGCTTACCATCGCAGGAAGGGGGAACATATTTTTAAGTAGGATTATCGGTTGCATTTGAAGCAATACGTTTTTTTGTAGTACTCGAGACCAAGACCGGTCTCGAGTACTACAACACTACTCACTGCAAGATTCAGATGACATAACAAATGAAATAAATGTGTTGATTTGTCATTTCCCCTGTTTTTTATATTTTAAACTCTAAAACACTGTTGGGATGTGATGGTAATTATATTTTTTCAAACAATATCTTCTTTTTTTTCAGATCCAGAGGTCAGGAACCTGGAGAGGATCCATCTGCATTGTACAGCACAGTCAACGACCAAAACATATATTGCATTTATGATAATTCTGTTTCTTTTTTTAGTTCTTTCTTTTAGTTAATATTTTTCTTGGGATATGCCTCTCCAATAATTTACAAATGAATTATATGCCCTAGAGAAAATTACTTTGTTTTTAGTATATGTAAAGTATTTGACTGCATTCACCTGTAAATATAATTTGTCTGACTTTTTGCAACATTTAGTCTTTTCATGTAACTTTTATTTTGAAAAATAGGTCTTATACAGTCAATAAGACTGCATCATGTTACTTTTTTCCACACTGATGCAGCACAACAATTTGAACCCATGGTGTGCATCCAAGCGATGCATCAAACTGTTTCCTTCTGTTCCTGTTTAGTTTAGCATCACTGACAGACCCTAAACTATGACCACATTTACGATAAGATTTCCTTAGATAGTCTTTGTTGTTTGTTGGATGTTCTGAAGTGCCTCAAAACTAGTTTGTTACACTCTCTTAAATAGATAGACAGAAAGTTCATAGTTTGCAAAAACAACAAAGCAAGTTACTTTTTAGTGTGAACTTAAGTCTACTTGTATATTTGGTTCATTATTCATGTAAATGATGTAAAGAGGAAGGAAGTTGGGAGGATTTTACAGAGTAACGTTGTCTTATCAAGATAACTTCCTTTCATGTTAGGTAGAAGTGTTTTTGATGTGAATGATTTACTTCTGTGGACATTATTTAGCTGCAGACATCTTTTAATGTCTCTGAAGTCACACAGCGAGACGCGAGGAGCAGATATGAGGTTAACAGCAGCAGCGAGAGGATTTGTCGTCCTTCTCCTGACTGTACCAGGTGCTGTATATCTACATTTATGTATTTACATTTAGTCAGAGCAACCTGAAGTGAGTATAAGAAAGAACATTTAATTAAATTATTCATTCTGAGATCTCCATATTCCTATATTTGACCTGTTTTATGCAGTGTGATAATTTAAAACACCTTAAAACTCTGACTGCAACACCAACATTAGCTTTTGGACTCAGTGCTTCTACTTGGATGTTAAATGTCTGTATCTGGTTTGGTAGCACATAGTGGTTTGTGGATTTAATTGGATTTTTCACATATAATCTGTGTGTGTGTGTTGTGTACGGATAAGGCAAATCAATTTTTAAATCATTGTGATATACCCTTGAATTACTCATAATTATTAAATATGTGATAAAGGAAAATACACTAAAATACTAATTTATGATGCAATTTATAAAGATTTACTCAGGTGGTCTCCATGTTTACTGGGAGTCTCACTTAAAACACTATTTCTATGTATTTATTCACCTTTGTATTAATTACCTTATTTATTTATTGCCCTTTATAATCTTCAACTTAATTGTTTTTCAAATGTATTTTTTTATTTTAATATTTTTGTTAATATGTTTATTATTCTTCCTTTGCATTTTCTACCCTCTTTATTATGGTATTTATGTTGTCTCCTCTTTACATTTCACTATGCATTTCTGCCTCATTACACACATTAAATAATTTTGATTTGATAATCTGTCATAATTTTCTGTAGTCCATGGCCAGTTTCAGAAAGCAGGATTACTGAGAAGTATGTTAAGCCTTAGATGAGGGAAACTCTGCGTTATCAGTTTAAGAGACCGAGATCAGAAAAAAAAAACGAGATCAGTAACTCCAGCAATTTATGCTGTAAAGCTAAGCTGCTCGGGAGAAGGTTTTCTTCAACAAATGCTGAGTTTCTCTCTGACTCTTCCCCTCCTGAGGAGCCTGAAGCAGCGGTCTGACGCAGCGTTTCATTTCCTCATTCATACTGTCGATACCAAAGCAGAAACTGAAAACATTCATTTGCAGAAGTTTTTGCAAACATCAAAGTCCCAGTTAGATATAGGTTCCGTACCCAAACATGATCTTCAACATGATCAATCTGTCATCAATGTAAGGACTGAGACAGCGACATTGTGGATTCATCCTCAGCACAGATAAAATCTATACGGGCTACTCTGTCCTTCTGTGTATCACTGTGACTCTGTGGACATTAAGGCAGCAACAGTTACACTGAAACATTTAGTGGCCTACACTACTGCAGTAATCACTGTTTCAATCAAACTAATCTATATGCCTGTAGCCTAACTGATCAATGAACAATCATTTGTCATGTTTAGGGCTGTCCCTAAAGCTAAACTGAGGCTTATTTTTGACCTCTCTCTCCCCCCCTCTCTCCCTCCCTCCCTCCTGCCATTCACCGGTCTTGTGCAGAGTTTTACGAGCATGCCGTGCTGCCGACAACTGCATGCGCGTCGCGGTTCCTCGCGGGTCTAAAAACGATATAATATTCTTTGTGTGGTTCATCAACGGTGACAAATTATCCAAAAGTCCCGCGACAACTCGGCACAACACCGGTGAAGCTGGGGCTCCATCTTTTCAGCAAGTGTTCCTCTTCTGCCACCACAAACATACAAGCTACGCCTACACATGACGACCCAGGGTTACAATTTTGGATTTATTTATGCACTTTAAAAACATTTATTGAAAGTGTTTTTCTTTACACATGTTTAGTTAAAGCATCAAACATTGAAATGTATATTGTAATTGGCTGTATATTAACTTATTGTCAGAAAACTGGTGGTTCTATGTAAAATTAAACGTTGACACTAACATATAGACAAAATTGCATGTTTCGCTGCGAAGCTTTGAATCAGGCTCCACCCATAGAAGCATTGTATCTAAATGTGTTTTGAGCATCACTGGGTTAAAATAGAGGCTTGTTTACCTGTTGCCATGGTGAATCGTCCTATCAGATCTCCATTGATGATTCTTTTTTAAATTCCCCCTGCACACGCAGGGACCCTGGATCAGCTATAATGATAATAATAATAACCTTTATTTAAGAGCACTCCAAAAACAGGTGATTCACAACTTTTCAAAAACAAGTTACAAAGTGCTTTAACAAGTGTAAAGACAATAATACAAAAACATTACAAGATAAAAGCATGAAAAACATTGAAAAGACTAAAATACACAGCTATATCTGATGTTATGGGGAAGGCCTTCAGTCAGCAGCCATACCACAAAGTAAATTTATTTTTTTAATTAAACGGATTTGATGACTTGATCTTTAAAAACTGATAGCTAGTCAACAATAGTTACGTCTGTGCCATCATCCCCTCCATGAGACTTCAGAGTTAGGGTGTATGATCTCCAACAAATATTTAATACAAGGTTTTAATAAGCAAAAAGTAAATAAATGCTCCTCCGATTCCCCCCTAATGTCCTTTTCTATGTCTTAAATGAATGGACCGAAGCTGTTGCACCAACATTGATAAATATTCCTATTGTATCAATAAAAACTGAAACACCTGATGAAATACGTTATTCTTTTTCAGTTCTAGTTACAGAGATACGTTTTTGTGACACTGCTTATCCAGGATAGCTGTTCCCAAAAACACGCTGGTACCTTGATCCTCTTTGTCTTACAGGATATTACATAGAACCTACACAAGTTGTCCAGTCTTGTGCCATGAAGAGCCGACAGTCTACAGGTTTTCTCCCCTCTGCCTCTAAAAGTCTTTAAAATGACATGAAAACCTGTAGACTGTTAATTCTCCATGGCAAAGGGTTTGACTCCCAACGCAGTTTTGAACATGTGCAGTAGTTCAGTTAAGTTTTACAAAAATAAATATATGAAAAAAGTTTGTTCTCTGATGTTTTGAATCTGATTTTAGTTTCTGATGTCATCTGTTTTTCAGTGGTACAGAGTCAGAATGGCTGGGGAGTGACTTACACTCCAACTCAGATCTGTGCCTTAAAAGGATCAACAGTGGACATAAAATGTACCTACATAAATAATCATGATACCAAAGTTCAGGAAACATTCTGGTTTACGAAAGAGAGTAATAAAGTTTATGTGGATCTGAAAACGGACCCAGAATATTCAGGTCGTGTGGAGTATCTTTGTCAGAACAAACGCTGCACTCTGAGAATCACAGACCTGAGAGAGAGCGACTCAGCTGAGTACAAGTTCAGGTTCATAACAAACCAAGAACTTGGGAAATATACTGGTTCACCTGGAGTCACTCTGTCTGTCACAGGTAACATTTTCATTTAAATAGTTTTTTGTTCCAAAGGATCAATATCAAGCAATCAGTGCTGTAAATGTTTCATGAAGAAAATCTAGGCTCAAAGGTCCAGTTACTAAATGAAGTTTTGTCGCAGGTAACATTTTCATCTGAATATTTATCAGTTTAGTTTCATGTGTTCAACATCTTATGAAGGTTACTTGCATCTGTGTGCTTGTATGTGTTGACAGTTAGAAATGAAGATTTCTGTTATTCATGTATTCAGATCTGCAGGTGCAGGTGAGCAGATCAAAGTATTCTCCCTGGGCAGAGCTGAAGTGTCACAGCAGCTGTCGTCTACTTGGCCATCCTTCCTACATCTGGTACAAGAACGGACAGAAAATTCAGGAAGAAACATCTACATATTCAGGCCCCTTTGATCCTGCAGGCAGCTTTTCCTGTGCTGTACGAGGATATGAGAAGTCCCGCTCTCCTTCAGTGTGTGAGTTTACATCCAGTCTTCCACTGACATGACACCATCTGGTGGAGTAGTGTAACTAATGCTGTATCATGAATATATGTGTCTTTAATGGGTGACAGTAATTGTGTGTGTGTTTGTGCAGTTTAGTTCACTCAAGCTTTTTGTTTTAATTTTGAAGCACTAGTTCCACAACAATTTGAATGAGGGATACTTTCCCCCCAAAATAATTATTAGCAAATAATTAGTAAATATAAAAAAAAAAAGGAAATTGGTAATTGGTTCAGGAAACACCAGAAGAAACACAAAGTCTTCAGAATTTTTGTGACCACAGCAACTCTGGACAGCAGCAATAATCAAACATCTAAAAAAAAATGGAAATGTAATCTGTTTTTCTTTCTTTAATTTCTTCCTGAATAAATGATTCTCTTTAGGATTGAACTATCAACAACAAAAGACTGTTTAACAAAAACATTTTAAAGTTAATGTATGTTAATATCTCCTGCAGATGCTCCAAAGTTTCCCTCCGTGTCAGCGAGTCCCTCTGGTGATTTAGTGGAGGGCAGTTCAGTAAATCTGACTTGTAGCTGTGATGCTAAGCCAGCAGCTAACTATATCTGGTACAAGAGGACTAAAAATCCAGACCATGAAGATCTCAGTAAAGAACCACAGCTTGTCTTCAGCTCCATCCAGACCTCTGACTCTGGAGAGTATTACTGTGCAGTTGAGAACCAGCTGGGGAGGAAGACAACTAAATACATCATTAATGTGAAATGTGAGTGAAACACAGGTTTAATGCTATTGAGAGATTAAATACACTCTAAAAATATCATCACAGTATAACATCATGTCAAGTGAACTTCTGGGATATCAGTCTGTCCAGTTAGGAAGAATAAGTAATTTTGAATCACCTGTTTTTGGAGCGGCAACAGCAAGACAACCCCCCAAAAAATGAATGGTTTTGCACGTGGTGGCCGCAGACAGTTGTTCTCTCCTTACCCTTCCTGACTGATTGTTCTTTAGTTTTGCATTTTGTTAGCGTCCTCGTCACCACTGGTTGCATGACGCAATATCTGCAGCCCATTCAAGTTGCACAGGTAGTCCAGCTCCTCCAGGGTGGCACATCCATATGTGCCATAGGAAGTGCAAAACTAAATCTCTGGATTATCCCTTTAACTCGACAACGAAAAGATTTTACCTGCCTGCTTCAAGTTTTCTGCTGTAATTCACTGAGCAGCTTCAGTACATTTAGACCACGATCAACTTTCTATATCCTGCCAAATATGCATCAACTTATGATAATCTATATTCATGTAATACAGATGCTCCAAAGCTTCCCTCTGTGTCAGTGAGTCCCTCTGCTGAGATAGTGGAGGGCAGTTCAGTGACTCTGACCTGCAGCAGTGATGCTAACCCAGCAGCTAATTATACCTGGTACAAGGAGAATGAAGACTCACCAAAAGCATCAGGACAGAACTTCACCATCACTGACTTCAGAGCTGAACACAGTGGGAATTATTACTGTGAAGCCCAGAACAGAAGAGGACGTCATAACTCCACCTTACATCTGATTGTTGTGGCAGGTACGTTTTTCACTTCACTTACACATGTACTCATCAGACATCTTAATGAAAAGTGGGGAGATTAAGGGGTGCAATTAAATGAGGCCCTATGTGAGTTAAACCGTCCATGTGACACTTCTAGATTCCTGGATCTCTGCAATAAACTTGATGAGAACAATGTTATCATAAGCAGTCTAAGGTTAAAATCAAGGGCAACTGGACTTAGTTGAGAAGGTAGGGAAACTCAGCTGTTTAACCTCTGTGGGGTCGTTTGCCAAGATGATTGATACTGCTGGTTCTTAGTGCTCCTGGCATTTGTAATAACAGTCATTATGGTCATTAGAGTCACCTGAGGCCAAGTCTGAATGACCATCGTTGGCATCCTCACCTGAGGCCAAAAGTGAACGTTTGTTAAGTTTCCTGGGAAGGGATGAAAGGACAGCATTGTAAGTGGGGGACAAGTGGTGTCGCAGACCCCCTCCACTGTTAAGCGACGGCTGCTGGGATCTGACCTGAGGATTTGGCCCTTCAGTGTTGAGCCATGCGTTTGTTAGTGGTTGTTTAGTTTCCTCAATATACAGATCTGTGCATTGCTCACTGCATTGGACCACATACACTAGATTGCTTTTCTCGTGTTTGGGTGTGCGGTCTTTAGGGTGAACCAGAATCTGTCTTAGCGTGTTCTTGGGTTAAGAAACACAGAGATGTGGTGTTCGTTGAAAAGAGTTTCTCTGATATTCCAGACACATATGGAATCACAATGTTGCTGCGTTAGATCTTCTTTTCTGTATCCCCTGTAGTGTTGGTGTTCTTCCTCGATCTTGTGGCTGTTTTCCCCTGTTTTAGTTCTTATAGGAGCCGAGACACATTGTACAAAAGGGCTGGGTGAAGTGGAATACAGTTCAGAGTAACTGAGCTTTGCACTGCCTTATTTGAAACTCCCAGTTGTTTGCACCTCACCTGCAACATTTGCACTAAAATACCAAACAAACAGGCAAAGTGAATTTCAAGTCAGAAAAATACTGCAGCTTTGTTCGCACTAGTTGTTGTTCTGTTCACAAAAATTAGGAAAGCTAAAGTCATTGATTCAAGCTGTCAAAATGAGGCAGATTTTCATTTAGAGGAGAGATTTGAGATGATGCCAGGGCGTCCAGATTTAGCCATGCACATGTGATTGAGAGAAGGTCATAGGACAGACCAGGGAGACAGTAAAGGGGTTAAGTCTTCCTGCTGGCCAGGGGGAGCTTGGGGATACAGGAGGACATTGTGTAATGTAATGTGTCTTTTAAGATGGCAAAAGATCTTTCAAAAGAACATACATAATACATGTGCAAAGAAAAATATTTTTGTTATATCACGCTATGTGGCCAAACATCTGAACACACTCAAATGAGTCATTTTGTCTTATTCCAGTGTTCCCAGGAGTATGGAAATCAGCAGTCTTTGGAACAACATCTGCTGTTTTCCTGGCTATCATATGGCTCTCTGTCCTCCTACTGATAGGGTGAGTAGATTTGTTTTACTGATGCATTTTACATTGAATACCAGAGTCTTGTTAGCAGCCAGGTTGGCAGATGAACTATTATTTCCTTGGTTTTTAATTCATTCTAACCAGGAAAAAGAGATCCTCCAAGCAATCATCTGAGCCTGGAGATAGACCAGACGACAGGGAACAGGATGACCTTCATTATGCCAGTTTCCACTTCTCCAATAACCAGACAGATGCTGTCTACTCCAACATCATACCAGCTGTCCCCCGAAGACACAAGGAAGAGGAGGAGGAACTTGTTGAGTACGCTGCTGTCCAATTTAACAGTGCCAGTACTGCCCCAAGGTGAGCAGCTCCTCTCACAGGAACATTATCCTCACTAAAACCTCAACATGGCATGCAGTTAATGGAGCTGATGATCAAGTATTTCATTTTAACACTTTCATTCCTGTTGCATTTGCTTGTTTTCTTTACATTTTCACTATCACTGTTTGTATTTGTGAAGGAATTTAAGGGTACTATGACCCAGGTTTCCGCAGGTCATGATAGGTTCAATTGCTGAGCTAAAGGAAGCCAAGGTGACAGCCAGGGCCTCTCCAAAACTGTAGGCCAGACTCTGTCTCTCCTCTCTGCCTGCTTGTCGGCTGACTGATGCAGCTGAGTTGATAAGGATGCACTGTTATACATCTGTTAGGAAACCCAAGGTCAAGATTATCTTTATGTTGTTTCATTACAGACTGACTGGCTATGTAGAAAAGGACACTTATTGGGACACTTAGTGAATCTGTGTAGGTCTAGGAAGGATAAATATCAGACAGGAAGTAGCCTTCAGATTTGGTGTTGGCATTTCATGTGTTCACATGTTGTGTGCCGGCACTGCATCTCCTCGGCCGAGTCTCATTAAACCATGCTGTGTAAGCCTTCATCAGTCTCTTGAAACGTCTTCATCACACCTGAACCTGGCTCACAATATTTTCACACAGTTTGAGTTAATACTATATCTTTATCTTTTTTTCTCAGGACCAGAAGTCAGGAAACTGTGGAGGATCCAGCTGCATTGTACAGTACAGTCAACAAAAGTGCTGAACACAACCGGAACGTCTAATCTGTGCTTTCTGTCATTTTTAAATGTGCTAGGCTCTAGGGATGGCAAAGTTAGTCTGTGGTTGGTTGGGCTGTCAACTGGTCCACCACTTTGGTCCAGAGTCCAGACTGAAATAGTTCAACAACTATTTGATGGATTGCCATAAAAGTTTTTACTGACATTTATGGTTCCCAGAGGATGCATCCTACTGACTTTGGTGATCCCGACTTTAACCCTGCACCAGAACCAGGGTGTCATTTTGTGACATATCTTGACAACTATTGGATGTGTTATTTGCTTCTTTGGTTTATGACCAAATAGCTGAAAAACTAATTCCCAGCATCCTCAGCTGTACTTTCTGTTTAGTGCTGATTAACAAATGTTAGAAACGAACACAACTAACATGGTGAATATGATAAACATTATACCTGCTAAACAAAACTAGAACCCACTTGTAAAACCATGTCTCCATAATGCTAGTGATAAAAAAACTCTGCAGGATCCATTTTAACCTTATTAAAGATTAATTTAGACCTAGCAAACATTTTCCTAATTCTTCTACAGTATAGCTTCAGACATACTTTATCTCTGTAGTACTGTATCAGATATCTAATAGGAGGTAAGCCTGTAATTAATATTTTTTGTTTAATTGTAGTATAAAGTTGCTATTTAAAAGCTCATTGGGAGAAGAGAAAGAGGAGAGAGGAACATGATTTAGGTAATCTAGTTGTAATTTCCTTCTGTTGTCACTAGATTGTAGTCAAGAGCCATATTTTAGATCCCATAATGTGCACGTCTCTCTTATCTGTGTAAACAGTTTATTTTCACCACATTGTTACTTCCTCTTTTTTTTTTACCAGTTCCATTATTACAGTTTTTAATTTCGGTGATTATTTCCGGTTATTTCCGCTCCATTATATTACATCTCATTACAGTTGTCTGTCTTGCTTCCTTTTTAATTCCTTTTATTGTGGTCCATCTCCTTTGTTCTGTAATGTTTTGTTTTGCCTAAAATAAAAACATGAAATGCTCACAAGTCATATCTACACTGAGGCCACAAAATGGGAGTACATATTGCTTCATTTTAAGAGGTTACAAGCAAAACAGGCAGGCGCACAATGGACTGGACACTAACATGCTGGAGTTTCAGTCCAGCAGGAGAAGCTTAACAAAGTGACAACATCTGTGTGCAGCGGACAATTTCAGTCTGTCACAGTCAATAGAAGAACTGCATGTGAACTAAACTAACAGCCACAGTCCTCTGATGTAGTAAATACAAAAAGTTTAATTTGTGTTGCAAATTGTAACATCTACACGAGGACGTCATAACTCCGTCAGGACAGAACTTCACCATCACTGACATCAGACCTGAACACAAATATTACTGTGAAGCCCAGAACAGTAAAAGTATCAGGAAAATATGGAATTGAGAGTATTTGTCATGCTCAAGTTTATCTTCATGGTAAAGTGAGTTTTTGAAGCCATTTTCATCAGTCAATTAGTTAAAAGTTGCATCTTACAGTTTCAGGGCTGTGTGTCTTTATAGAGCCACAATGAGCATCAACTTTCTAACTTTGGTGACTCTCAGTGATAAGCAGCAAAGAAAATACACTGTGGTGTCAGAGAAAAATGCACACCGGTAGATCTGACCTGGGGATAATGGGGTGGACAGGCTGAAAGTAACACACAGTCTGGAGCTGCAATGATTAATTGCCAACTATTAAATTTATTGCCAACTATTTTGATAATCCATTCATTGGTTTGAGTAATTTTTTAAGAATAAAAAAGTCAATATTCTCTGATTCTAGCTTCTTAAGCATGAATATTTTCTGCTTTCTTTATCCTCTATGACAGTGAACTGAATATGAAAAAAAACAAGACATTTGAAAACATTATCTTGGCTTTGGGAAATACTGGTCAACATTTTCAGATATTTTGTAAACCAATCAACAACTCGATTAATCAAGAAAATAATCAAAAAATTAATCAACAGTAAAAATAATCCTTAGTTGGAGGCCTAACAAAGACTTTACCAATTTTCAGATTCGATTGTCTCATTTTGCTATGAACAACACTATATACCCTGCGCTTCCTGTATCTACTGGCACTAATAATTAACTGCCCCAAAAGTAAACTTAAATTTGACCTAACAATCAGTGATGGATGGTAAAATGTTTCAGCGTCCTGATTCAGTATCTGTGATGTTTCACTGCCCTCTAGTGGTGAACCTTTGTTGTGGCACATTCAGGCTTCCTCACTCTGAGAGCTCCCTCCACTGCCTGTTTCAAAGAGTCACTTCACCCAAATTACAAGAAGACATATTTTCTGTCTTACCTCCAGCAGCATCTTGTCAGATGTGCTCTGTGTTACAGTGACACAGAGTCACAATGACTGTGAGTGAGAGAGCTGCAAAATGTAATTCATTGTTTCTGATCTACTTTTCTTACATGTTTCTCAATACTGAATAAACACTGAGCTCAGCACGTGACTTTTTACATCCCATACTGCTGCAGTCCATCTCTTTGAACTCATACTGGTATAAAGGTTATTTCACTGTCTAAAGATGCACTAGACGTGTCAAGTGATGCATGAAACCAACTTTCACGCCTGTCTGTTCTCTTTTCTCTTTTCTTGTGTCAGTGGGAAGCAGCAAACAGGTTTAATACCAACAGGCCATAACAATATTTTCTTATTCTCTCTTATTAAGTTCTTAGTTTGCAAATCGTTACTTCTTTATTTTGATGTTGGTGTTAACTGGCATTTGGCTCATCATGATATTAATAATCTAAAGAGGAAGGAAATCTAGTAGTTTAACAGCCTGATATCCGTGTTCTGCTTGCTGACACAGAGGAAGGCTTCTTTAAAGACAGCGTCCTTCTTCATTGTAAGTACAATTGTTTATTGATGTGAGTGATACTGTATATCTGCCTTGTAAATTATTTTATCTCCTGACATGTTTTATTGTCTCTGAAGCCACACAGAGAGATGAGAGGAGCAGCTATGAGTTTAACTGCAGCAGCGAGTGGATTTGTCGTCTTCCTTCTCTCTGTGTCAGGTACTGAATATCTAAACTTATATTCATTGCATTAAAACAGGGGAATCTGGGAAATGTATGTCTTGTAAAAGTAGGCTGAAGGTCAGATGTGAAAATAAGTGGATCAGAAAGTATCAGGATCAGTTGTTCACACTGTATGATGAAAACAGCCAGTTTAGGGGGTATTTCCTAATTTCATTGTCCTGCTTGCACAATGCAAATGTATATTGAACAGTGTGAGTTCATTTTTCCAGAGCTGATGCTGCCTAAACGATGTTAGCACTATGCTGTGTTATTGTCGCATTGAATGAAGACGTGCAATGCAATTTAACGCACCAAAGTGTCGGCTTGTTCCATTATCCAACTTCTATAATTAGACAAGAAAGTGTAAACCGGAAACAGAGACTTCAAATAGTTCCTATTTGAAGCTACTTTTATCACGGTGAAGGTTTTAGAGAGATAGGCCTACTGGTCTCACACAGTAAAGTCATACTGACACAACTTCTCTCATATCTTCATCTGCAACTCCTGCTAGTTCCTTTTGTACTGTCTGACCTCAGTGTGATGTTTCTGTGCTCTGTGTTGACAGCAGCAAGGTCCAAAAATAACTTTCTTTACTGCCTGCCACTGTGACAAGCAGGTATTTTTGTCTAACACACAGAAATTGTATCTGTCAATTTAGAAATGCACCAAGATAACCTAAATGAACATTCTGCTCATTTAGGCATATTGTAATGTAAATAATGTTATTCGAATTTTAAACACAAAAAACATTGTGCATGTCTTTAGTACATGACATTAATTTCACTTAACCTAACAATCACTAACAGCCTGATATTTCAAAGGCAGCCTAACACTCAGTTAAACCACCAATGAATGGGTCCATATCTCTATAAAAACATCTTCTTCTGGATCCCAACAAGCAAACAAAAATACTCCTTTCAATACAAAAGTTGGCCAACGAAAATAAAACCAAGTGATGTCTCTTGTCTCTGATTGACAAGCTTATGATTCTCCATCAACACCGGAGTTCCCTCCTGTTGTCTGACCGGTGCTGCTGGTAAGCTCACCGGCTGTCACTCAGGAGGGACTGGGCCTCTTCCACTGCTGAGTTTGGTTCAAACACCGCCACAGATATTACCTGAGCTGACTGCTCTGTGTGTCTTGTGTGTGAGGCAGGGGTGTGTACCGATCACCATAATAGGCTACACTAAACTTACTACACGTGTCTTTCTGTTGAACGTTTTCTCTGTCTGCCAAAATGGCGGATGGTCTGACGATCTGCCAACAATTTACCCTCATTCAGCGGGTGCTAAAGTCAGAGATCTTGATAGCAGTTTTCTGCGTCTTATGTTTAGCTGCTAGAAACTCTCCTACACCTCAGTGCGCTGCATTTATTTTTAGCTTTCACACTTAACTCAGCAGCAACCTGACCGCAGAGTGAAGAGAGAGAACTGACCAAGAAAAGCACAGACTCTCTAATAATTTATATTTCTCCTCTTATCCCGGTCAGTAAACTGCATTAAAGGTCACAGGTCTGATCCTTTCCTGTTCACTTCACTGCACCTTCAGACTGGATGATGTCCTGCCTCAGTGCACATAGAGATGAACTGTAGAAAGCATGTGTACATCTTCCTTTGCACTGACTGTGTATAACTGAGCAAGACGTTGTGTTTAGACTTCTCTCTGTTCACCCTGGTTTTATTCAGAAATAACATCAAAAGTCATAAAGCATTAAGTAATTAGAACAGGAGTTAGGAAGTGCTGGGAGAAGAATGATACAGAACAACTGAGTATTTTATGTACCACTGTTCTGCTGCTTTCTCCCAGAAAAGAGAGTAAAATGTCATTTTATTAATTTTCTGTTTGTCCACTTTATCTGATTGTTAAATGACGTTATTAATGTTGATTGTGTCTGATGTGCTCTGTGTTCCAGTGATACAGAGTCAGAATGGCTGGGGAGTGACTTACACTTATACTGAGATCTGTGCCTTCAAAGGATCAACAGTGTACATATACTGCACCTACAGATACCCAACCACAAACAATTACCATTTTACAGTTGAGAAAACATTCTGGTTTAAAGGTGATGATGCTGTAGATCTGAAAACAAAGTCAGAGTATTCAGGTCGTGTGGAGTATAACTGTGATATGAACTACTGCACTCTGAGAGTCACAGACCTGAGAGAGAGCGACTCAGCTGAGTACAAGTTCAGGTTCATAACAAACCAACCAGGTGGGACATATACTGGTTCACCTGGAGTCACTCTGTCTGTCACAGGTAACATTTTCATCTGAATATTTATTTATTTAGTTCCAAATGTTCAACATCTTATGAAGGTTACTGTGTTTCTATGTTGACAGTTCAGTCTAAAGTGAAGATTTTTGTTCCTTATTCACAGATTCAGATCTCCAGGTGCAGGTGAGCAGATTACAGATCTATGAGTCTTCTAACTGGGCAGAGCTGAAGTGTCACAGCAGTTGTCTTCCACCTGGTCATCATTACTACGTCTGGTACAAGAATGGACAGAACATTGGGGGACAGACATCTAATTCTTATTCAGCCTACTTTTACCCTGCAGAAAGCTTTTCCTGTGCTGTAGGAGGATATGAGAAGTCCCGCTCTCCTTCAGTGTGTGAGTTTACATCCAGTCTTCCACTGACATGACACCATCTGGTGGAGCCTTTAACCTATTGTACTGCACATTAACTGCATGTAACTCAGTGGTATTTGGTGATTCATTGTAGAACTGGATGAAAACCAAATCATTTCCCCATGAGATTGTAGACATGTTGCATAATTAGTTTTTATTCCCCGTCTTTACTGCAAAATTAAACTGTAAAATAACTCACAATGAAAATGTATTAAAACAAGATTTATCTTGTAATTAGACTTTTTAAATTCTCTGGATCAGATAAAACTTGTGCATCATCAGAGAAATTCCCTGATTATCTGTTCTTGTATCTTTACTGTATCAGTGTTCAACTTGTATCCATGGTAACAGAAACCCATGCTGTTTCTGATACACGAGGAAATCAAGCTGCACCACTGAAATGAAATAATGCTCCACTGTGAAAACTCAACCTCATCTTGAAATTAAATGTTAAAAGTGTTCATGTTTTCTCCTCCAGATGCTCCAAAGCTTCCCTCTGTGTCAGTGAGTCCCTCTGCTGAGATAGTGGAGGGCAGTTCAGTGACTCTGAACTGCAGCAGTGATGCTAACCCAGCAGCTAAATACACCTGGTACAAGGAGAATGGAAATCAAAACCTTTATCCTCTCGGTAAAGAACAAAAGCTTGTCTTCAGGTCCATCCAGTCCTCTGACTCTGGAAAGTATTACTGTGCAGCTGTGAATGATCTGGGGAGGACATCTGGATTTGAGCTATTAACGTGAAATGTGAGTAAAATGCAGCTAATTTAAAAAACATTATACAATTAATGACAACTTCTTAAAGCTTAATTATCCAGTCAGATGTTTTGCTGATCATGCACTTTCTTCAGCTCTGCCTGTTTCACATTCACAGCGGCTACAACAGATGATTAAAGGCGGTTTTATTTCGAGTGAACGCTGAGTCAATGTTGAGTTCAGCTCAATGAATAGAGGGGTAGTACTTTTCTCATTGATACCTTGAATCATTTCCAAAATATTCAAGATTTTCCAGGAAAAATTTGTAGGTGAATGGAGAGAAGGATTAAATCCTCCTCATCCCTACTCAACTCTGTAAGGGTACTAGTTCAGCACACTTTCAGCTACAGACTTGATTTAAACTTTAAATTGGTCACAAGATGCCAGGTCTGGATTGGGACCAAAATTCGGCCCTGGCAATGTGGTTTTCACCGGCCCAGCAATGACTCTCACACTGTAGGCGTACACGGCAAGGCGCATAGACTGCAGTCTATACACACACATTCACACGCACACACGAGCATGACACAGCGACCAAAAACACAAGCACACACGCGCGTGGCGTAGCGGCCAGACGCACACAACACACCTGATTAAGAAAGATAAAGCACCATGACCATCAGTTATGACCAAACCACAATAAAATACATGATAAAAGAAGCATGTCCTACCTTATTAAATCAGCAGCCGTTGCATCAGCGCTCTTCTCTGCCACCATTTTAATGATGCAATCCGTGTCCAAAGAAACCAGAGTCTCCTTTTCGATTGCCATCAACATAAAGTTTTTAAGGTGCTCCTGTGAATTTTAACGTGGAAAAGCTTCGCTCACATGCAACTTGTGTCACAGACAGAGTTAACAGAAGCTTGTATCACAGTCCGATTAGATGGTAGGAGTCAGTGAGCAGGTTATGCCTTTGTAGGACATAATAACAACAGAAGGGACACTTTCTGCAAGATTGGCATGTTGTGTTCACAACATCTCATTCTTCATCTGGGCTCTGCTCATCATCTCCATCCTCAGTACTCATCTCTCATCACTTCAGCTTGTCCCAGTGCGTGGCCAGGCTAAGTAGTTCAGCCTGTAAGGCCTCGGGAGTTGCTCTGCTATCGAGCCTGATCAGTTTGGCGCTCAGGGCACTGACTGCACCTGCAGGTACACCGTTACATTTCAAGCCATTGAAGTTCTGGGGATCAAGCAGGGCGAAATCTGTGTACAGTTCTCTGTTTTTAGCAAAACGTTGGGAAATACTTTCAATGATGGACTCCAGAATGACATTGTGCACTTGTACCTCATACTTGCTGTCAGCATCTGATATGGCTGTATCATCACATAACTCGCCTGGCATCCTTTTTGTCTTCTTTGGTCTCCGGTTTGGCAGCGTGTGTTCCACCTCTGTGTCTGTCTCACACATTTAATTCTCTATTGGCCCATTGCACAAATGCATCTGTTGCTGCCTTTACCCTCTTAAAATCCCTTGCATATTTTTTCATATTATCATGTTTGCTTGTGACAAAGCGATGGGCCGTGAGCAAATCCTTTCTACTTGTTTTTAAATACTAGGAAAATGGAGTTGTTTGTTGGAAGATGCGTAAAAAACGTCTGGACAGTGAGGATGGTTTGGTATTTCAGCAGAGCCTCTGCATAAGCATCGGAATTTGCACGCACCGTCGGCTTCTTGTTATCTTTCTCGCTCAGGGTCTTGAGTGTAACAACAAGATTAATGTAAAGACATCCCTCTGGATCCCCAAACTTCCCAAACACTTTTGTAAGCGCAGTGTCTTTGGCCCACCATAGGGTTTCGCCAATTGGTGACCTGTGCTGCACATCTTTGCTCACATCCTCCCGTGCATTCATCCTTTTGATATGAATCTCTCTGGAAAACAGCGATGACGTTTAACAAAGAAAAAAGTGATGCGCTCGATAGAATGCAACCAGTAACGTCCATTATTACTAAATTCAGTACATGGCCAAAACACCATAGTGTACCTGTGCAGGTGAATAGTGCTGATAATCCTCAGTATTCCCCTTGCCTGTAAGCGGCTCCGTCCGTGGAATTAATAATATAACACATTCATTTATATTAAGTTCCATTTTCTCCAGGACACATTTAAGCAAATCAACAAAACCCTGACCTGTAGACGACTCGCCAGTGCAATCATCCTCTCCTGTGTCTTCACATCCGTCACAAATTATCACTGAACACTGGTGTTTGTCTGTTTGTATGTGTTGTATCAATTTGAATGAAATACATGCTGGCCTCTTTAACCTCCGCAGCAACGTTTTCTTTAATGAGACATTCAGTAGTTCTATGACCGTGTTTACAGTTGTGTTGGATAGGAGAGTGACCAGTGATCCCCTGCCCGTTGCTCCGGAGTGGTGCAGCCTCTTACTATTTTCAATACATGAACTGACATGCGTTTGGAGGCATTTTTCCAATTTGCTCAACAAGAGAACACGTTCTAAAAACATGTCATGTTCGGCAGCATCATTTTCCAAGGTGCATGCAGCCTCTGATTTGTCCCCTCGGTAACTGAGCCTTCGTTTTCCTATGACTTTCACTATTTCAAGTGAGTGATAGTACTCTTGTGTTAATGATTATGAATAATAATATTTTGAAATTATATCAGGATTTTTTTAAAAGCTATTTATTAGTGAACCCATTTCTTAATGAATTAATGAAAATAATATTTGGAATATTATATCATAAGCATCGTTTGGGGAACCACCTGAATCGCTGTCCGCCGAAGGACTTCAGGATCCTTGGGTACAGCTAATAATTGCCAA